AACAAGGATCCCATGGGAATATGGTCCACACTAAAAAAGTTACTACCGAAATCTTCAAAATCTCCTAATACCATTGAAATTGATAAGAAAATAATAACATCTCCAGTCAAAATTGCTAACTATTTTCATTCATATTTTGCTACAATTGGCTCTAAACTTGGTGAAACTCAGTCCAATTTACAGTCTGTCTACGGGCCATCATTAAGTAGTTCTACCTTTAAAACCCAACCCGTCAAAACTTCATCAGTGCTTAGGGAACTGAAATCTTTAAAGATTAATAAGGGAGCAGGGCTGGATAACATCCCTCCTCGCCTTTTGAGAGTAGCGGTTGATATTATTGCACCATCACTAACTTACATTTTCAACCTATCGCTAGGGTTTCTTTCCCCAAGACCTAAAAGTAGCCAAAGTGACTCCTCTTTATAAATCAGGTGCAAAGGATGAAGTTGAAAATTACCGTCCAATATCCGTGCTGCCAATTGTGGCAAAGGTATTTCAAAAAGAAGTTCACAATCAGTTCTATAAATACTTGATGGACAACAATCTTCTACATTCCTCTCAGCACGGTTTTCGTCAGAAAAGATCAACACCAACAGCCTTGATAAAAGTCGTTGATGAGTGGTTGTACAATATTAACAATGGTCAAGTTTCAGCTGTTAAAATCCTCGATCTTGCAAAGGCCTTCGATACCGTAAAGTATAGTATTCTGGCGAGAAAACTCCAAGCTCTTGGAGTTACTGGTCTTGATTTAGACTGGTTTATTTCATATCTTGACAATCGACAACAGCAAGTATTTTTCAACGGTTTGCTTTCGTCCACCGAACATATCCTATCAGGGGTTCCCCAAGGCTCGGCCCTGGGGCCTCCACTTTCCTTGGTCTACATAAATGACCTTCCTTCTTATATCTCTGTTTGCAGACGACACTGCCTTGTATTATTCTTCTAATAATACAGATGAGATACTAAGAAGGCTTAATGATGACCTTGAAAACGTATCCAGATGGATAAAATTGAATGGATTAGCGTTAAACCACAAGAAGAGTGAGTACTTGGTCATTGGTTCACCACAGAAACTTAACCGTGTTCAATTTGGCACATTAATGCTAGATGGGATCGCAATAAAGAGAGTAGAGACCTTCAAATACCTTGGAGTTGTACTTGACAGTAATATTTCTTGGTCAAGCCATATCGACAACTTGTGTAACAAGGTCTCCTCAAGAATCGGTATCCTTAATTGCATAATGCCTTGCCTCACATTACCATTAGCTCAAACTATGTATAAGTCAACTTTTCAGCCCTTATTTGACTACTGCGCAGCAGTCTGGGACACATGCAGTGAGACATTATCTCTACGACTACAGAGACTGCAAAATCGTGCTGGGAGAGTTATCCTCTTGACTGATAATCGCACCCCGTCTGCCTTACTACGAGCTAAGCTCAACTGGTCGACATTACAACAGAGAAGAAAGTGCAATAAATCCATTCTTACTTATAAATGCTTAAATAATCAGCTAGAATGGCTTAATACAAACTACTTACGCCATTCAGAAATACACAATTATAATACTAGCAACAAAGACAAGTTTGTTTTTTTCTTAAACCAAGAACTGAATACATGAAACGTACTTTTAAGTACACAAGTATTACCTAATAGAACACATTTTCTAAGAATATCTAAAACTCTGCTTCTGTGTCAAGCTTTAAATAGCGAAATAATATTGTAATCATTTTATCATTTAATTTTATCATTGTGTCAAGTTTTAAAAGGAAAATCAGCACAATGTTATTGTCTTAATTTCATAGTTTTGAGGTGTTCATAATCTATGTTTATATTTATTGGTGTCGTATATTGTACATTATTTTATAATTGTATTTATTTATGTCAGGGACACCTGGCAGAACAGACTGCTGAATGGTGTTCCCTGGTTAAATAAAGCTCATTATTATTATTAGAATGATTAAGTTTTGAGTATTAAGGTCTGAAAGCATAATCTCTCAATAAGGGCCTTTTTAAATCTTTAAAAAGTTAAAAAGTTATTTAGTCATCACTCGCGTATTATGCAACCTGACTGATGACGATGGGAGCTGCAAAGTTCATTTTACCTGGATCATTTTTGTTGTAATACGATGTTGGCCGGCCGGAGATGACTCTTACAATTGGACTGAGTCATGACGGGCCGGAAAGTATGGATCTCTCATGGCCTCGACTCAAGTATTTTCCCGACTGACCCTGCTACAAAATGAAGTCAATAGGACATACATGGTCGTGAATGCCTTATTTCGAGATTAAAATCATAAGTATTCTATCGTTAGAATGTCAACGCGAAACTCTTCGCAGACCTCTTTTCACTCGCCACCCCCCAACCCCCTTGGAAAAAAATCATGCTTCAGTGAAAAAAATTGACCACGCTAATCACACGGAAACGAATATAATTAACAAATGGTAAACACCACAGCGTACACTATTGAGTTATGGATGCACGCGGGAGGTTGCTAAGCACGAAAGAAGCGTAAGAGTCGAGCGACTCTAGCTTCATGAGTCAAGAAGCTAGAGTCGCTCTCGGCTATCGTCTCGAGCGACTCTTACGCTTCTTTCGTGCTTAGCAACCTCCCGCGTGCATCCATAACTCAATAGTGTACGCTGTGGTGTTTACCATTTGTTAATTAAATAGCGGGTTTACTTTACTCGTTTTAGCCTGGTAACGCTGTAGAACATGATTGCATTTAACGCCTGCGTCATGGAAGTGTTAGGAATTTATTTATTAAATGTAAATTATTTTTTTTATTCTCTTAGGATCAGTGTAGTTCGTGATTATTTGTATCTGTTACGTAATTTTTATTCTTCACTTGTGTAAACTGTTGTGTAATTAACCTTTATTGTGTATATCACGCTTATAAATACAGGCGTTTAGTCATACTTGTAAAACTCCCTGAAGAAGTCTACGACAGTTAGACGAAACGCGTAGAAAAATACAACAAGTTTTACAACTACTGTTCGCAGAAGTGCTGCTCACTAGTCTATAATTAAAAAATTGTTAAAAAAGTGTAAAATAACCATTTGAAAATTGTCTATAAATGTTATTTTCAGTCAAATGCAAATAATACAATGGAAACTCACTCGCCAGTTTTTTTCAGTCCAAAATAATACGGAAAGTCTAAATGTTCCCTCTGCGTTTATTTTTTACCCAAAATAAGGGGACTACGCTTCCCCTTGCCCCTCCCATAGATCCGCCACTGATTAATAATGACTGGTCTCTAATTACACCATGAAAATCAATAATTAAACAGTTTAGAATCTCTTGATGAACATCTGTATGAGATTGAAGGTTTCAAATGTAAATGCTTAGTTGAACGTTTAGTTGAAATTATAATTAACTTGAAACTTAAGCTCAATTAGAGTTCAATTAGAACTGGAACGAGCAAACATTGTGTCACGCAACTTTAAGAAATTTGCCTTTTTGTTAATTGATCCTTATTGACACGCTTTCGTTGTGTTTGCAAGAGGAACACCTATTCTTTTGAAAGCTCCACTACAGAAACGAGGACCATGAGTGTAGATGGGGATCGACAACGCAATCAAGTCTTCACAGACGCTGAAAATTACATCAAACAAGCTAGTGAGGTGCTACAACGAGGAGCAGCAAGACCTCGCCACGAGAAGGAGGCGATCGACGCCATGTCGAAAAAGTTAGAACATGTTCATTTTTTCATATGTGTGAATGAACATGTTCATTCACACATATGTTTCATATGTTTGTTGATGTTCATTTTTGTTCGACTATATAGCTGAATGTTGGCGGTCATCGCTTTACTACAGGTATTCAAACGCTGACCAAAGATCCAAACTCGATGCTGACCGCCATGTTCTTAGGGAAGTTTAAGATTAAACCTTCTAATGATGGCGCTTTCTTTATCTACCGAGAAGGAACACATTTCCAGTTTATGCTCAATTATCTTCGCACTGGGAAATTAACTCTGCCAGTAGGAGCAACATTTCTAGACGAACTTGCCGAGGAAGCTGAGTTCAACCAGATCCAAGGGATACTGGGCGAGTTAGCGTCTAAGGCGCCGAAGTATTTTGAAGATTCAGTGATACTGACGAATGAGGAGCGAGAGAAGATTGCAAACATAAAATACTTTAGAGATTTTTTCAAGCTTTTTGAGACTCTACAACAAAAAGGATCGAGGCTGTGTGAAACGGAATGGAACGGAAATTGCAATAATTTATTACGGACTTCAACCCGAACCCGCGCATTCGAAGCAAAAGAGGGGACGAAAATCGTCTGCACTGCAAGTATCCTGGAAAGTTCCATACATTTTCTTAGACTAAAAGTCTAAGAAAATGTATGGGGCTTTTTGAGCGCTCCAGGGAGCTTTCCTGTAAGGCGTCATAATCTTGTTGCTGCTGACATCGATGTGACA